CATATAACAGTTTTATCCTGGTATTCTTGACTTGAGGTAACTTCATTTTCAATCTCCTCCGAAGTTACTTTCGTTTCTATTTCTGAATCTAAACTTTTCAGTTCATTGTTTTTTCTCAATTAACTGTTCATATAAATCCTCGATTATCTCAATTTTCTCATTTAGCGGAATATTATTTGCTAAATTCGATTCGACTTTGGTTATCAGTTTTCGTAGTTAATTGTCTAACAACCGATCGTTTCTTTTTCAAATTTTCAAGAACGCCCTCCATTTTCGAAATATTCAGTCTGTCGATTTTCTGGCTCGTAATAATCTCGGTTTGCAGGCACCATAAACAAAATATGTGTAAATCTCTAATAAACAGACTGGATCGCAGTTAAAGTAATAAACAGAGGAGCGTTCTTCCACACAACATTTATTCACGAACACCAAAGACGAACTGATACATATACATAATTGACATCACAGTTTCCTTTTACAAACAAACACTACCGCCATCTATTGGCGATCTATGGATACACAATCCTAAACTTAACACTATGACTCCTAAATTTATGCGATCTAAGCTTTGTTCAAGAGTGGTTGGTGGTGGTGGTAGTAGTACTTTGTAGTGGTGGTACTAAAAGTTTTCAATTTTTGTTTAGATGGTACGCTTCAGTCAAAAGGTTGAGAACCGCTGGCATAAATGAAATACTTGATTTGTTAGAAACTGTAATCAAACAGAAGTGACACAATTAATACGAAATGAGGGTTATAAAATTTTCTGTTAAGATACTTGAATAAATAAGAAACGAACAATTAATAAAAAAAATTCTGAAAGGTTTCAAATTTTAAACTACGCCCAAAGACGCGCTTTTCTTTTAACATTTTGTGTGTTTCCTCTATTTACTAAATATCATGCTTATTTACTAAATATCACTTAAACCATAAAATTCAATTTAAAAGCAATATCATAAAATAATTTTAAAATAAGCATATCTTTAGAATTTCTGATACAGAGTCTCGCACAAAAGAGACAGAAATGTTTTATTTCCCGCACAGTGTTGCCATTGCTCGCTTTGAAATAGTTTAGTTTGTTAATAAAAAATTCGCTGAAGTGTTACAAAATATGAAATCGATAATAAACAAATTTTAAATTCAAATTAAGGCTTCCACATGCCCATATTCTGTGGGAGATTACGTTATTCAAATTTTGACGTCTCTAGGTACTGTCGTTTTTGTCACAGTGCGAGAAACATACATACATTTATGCAGATTGTTTAATTTCTTTAAATGTAATACAAGCAATAATATTTCGTGGCATCAATCTGATAAGTGAAACAACGCTTATCGTGAATCAACGCAAAATGCCGAATCGAAATCAGTAGTCCTTCTGGGCAAATTCCCCCTTTGGACTAATAGTACAAAAACTGTTTAATTAAAGATAGCTTCAATAACCTTGGTTCAGTTTTTCTTGAATTTCTGTACGTAAATATAACGTGTTTCATAAACTGCTCAGATTTAAAAAATGCGATAAATCAGCCAAAGTTGCTTAAGAAATCAAAACATTTCTTCCGCATACATTCCAGTTTAATACTCGAAAACGGCATCGAACTTATTTGAATCTCTGTGACCCTTTCATAAAAGTCTCTGTTGATTTCGTCAATGACTCTTTCAATATCTCTCCTGAGTTCATAGTTTATTCACATAAGTTTTGAACTTGCCATACGTAGTCCCATAAAAGGAAGTCACAAGACGTGACATCATATGACTCTGTAGGCTATTCGTTAGTAGACTTCTTAGACTGTTAATAGACTATGAAGTCATGAAACCGGAGAATTTTTATTAAAGCAAAATTATTGTCTAGACGAATATATAGCTGGTAAATACGTCCTGCTAAAACCACATAATCGCGGTGTCCATTTCACCCAAAGCAGGCGACAAATTTTGTGATCATTTTCCATTTTATAATGAATTTCCATGATTATGACTTGTTACTCCTTAGCAAACAGCTCCGCTGCACTTAAGCAAATACAGGTCGAAGTACGCGAGACACCGGGATTCCATCACTGATCATACAGATACAAACCCCCTTCCTCGGACTTACTGTGCAGTTAAGTCCCACTCCATTAATTCTGCAACTAAACGAAAAAAACAATAAATACTTAGTTAATCGGAATGGTGGTAAATAACGAAATTGATAAGAACAGTGTTGAAAACTGTTAAGAAACCTATGGAATTCAAAACATAAGCACTTTTATGAAACACCCTAATACCAAGATTTTTCAAACACTAAATACACTGCTGGACGTTTGCTAAGCATGGACAACACTGTCACCCATAGCTTACACAAAATGAAAGGAAGCTATTTGAGGAAAATTAGAATAAGCGCGGAATGCGATATAAAGAGGTCTGTATGCAAATTTTTTCTTCCTCGCCTGTTTATCACGTAGCAGCGCTGATAAAACATTTAAAAGATGTTGTAAAATTCCATCCTTTAAGTTACAGCTAAAAAGGAGGAACTTTAAGAACTGGTAAGGGAGTAATCGTTTAGTTCAAAAAGACAGAAAAATAAACGCACGAAGAGTTAATTACCCTTTATCGTAACTGTAAATAAATTTAATAGTTGACTCCTTCTTGGATTTTACAGCAAAGCCTCCACTTGGGCTTGAACTCAGGAATACTAAGAAATAAAACTTAATTAACTTAGCTAAAAAGATATAGCCGAAGATATCAAGATTCTATAAGAGTTGGCCCCTTAACGTCTAACTAACGGCGAAGCTATGAAGGGTATAAAGTACGGCCGAGCGTAAAAATAGCTTAGAGAGAGAGTAGACTAAAAGGCGAACGCGCAGTGCTCAGAATCTCTGGCTCTCTAACGAAGTCTGTAGAACTTTAAATGCTTGCTCTTCCTTCATTTGCTTTTAACCGCGCTTCTAAAACTCCATTCTGGCCAGAAATTGTCAACTGAAATTAAGAAGCGACAGGAAAGTGGCTTAAACTAAAATTAACTGTTAAAGACTTAAAATAAAACCTTACAATGTGACTCGTACGAGCAGTTGTTGTACCAAGTGAAAGTTTCAGGGAAAAGATTTAATTGACTATCTTGAATATTTCAATGTGTCTTCCTGATATCACTTGGATAATTGTACGTGTGCCCATATTATTGGAAAGATCAAAGAACAGGGAAAATTAACAGATGTTGCTGGGAGTTGAGCATCGCTCAGAGCGTTGTATGCCCCATATCTCAGGAGATGGCGAATGACTCTTGCTGCCACAGGTCAGCGGATCTCCCGAAAACTATAGCCAGACGTTAGGGGAAGAAGGCCTATACGCCCGCAGACCTATTGTACGTGTAAGTTTGGCCAGACGGCCCGTACAGTCCATTTGCGCATTGGATTGAACAGGACTGGGCTTCGTAATATTCTCAGATGAGAGAAAGTTCAGTATGTCATCAAATTGTAAATGCTAACTGATCTAACTGGTGTAAGAGTGGTGGTACTTATCGCGTAGAAAATATTCAATAAAGGAACCAGTATCTCAGATACAGTTTCATGGTATGGACCAGTATCATGAACAATGGTCGCACGCCTCTACATGTGGCTGCAACTGGAACTATGACCAGCCAAAGATGCAGTCATAATGTTCTACTGCCTCATGCTCGCGCTTCTTTTGTGGTCCTTTCGATTATAAATTTCTTTTCATGAACGACATCGTACCATGTCATCAAACACTTCCCGTTTAGAAATTTCTAGACAACGAGGATATTCAAAACCCCATTGAAAATGTTTGTAATGTTTTGGAGAGATGATTTACTGATCGAAAATATCTTCCAACGAAACATAAACAACTTCATATATATACTGACAGAGGAGTAGGATCAATTGGCTCAATAGCTGCTGCATAATATCATGCTTTGCATGACACGACGTATGAAAGCTGCATCGCACTCCACGGTTGGCATATTATCGTTTGATACTTTTCTCAAAGGTGCCTACTGTATTTCATTTGTACTTTTACATTTCGTTCAGAGCATCAAAAGAACAATTTTTTGCTTTTGGATGTTTCAGAACCTTCTGTATTTTCCTCAACAATAAATGTCCTTTATTCCAGCATTCGAACAGTGTGGCAACAGTAATCCTACTTAGATTCCATCCCCGCTCAATTTTATGCTCCATTGCAATTTGAGATCCATCCTTTGCAACTGTCCAGCAATGTAATCGATATTTATTAAAGACGAAAAGGACGTTAATTAATATTCTTATGAATATATATAGAATATTATTTTTTTACAAAATTTTAAAAAGCAGTTAGAAATCTACATTTAGATAAATCTTTGTATAATTAAGAAGTATATAAAAGACCAGCATCCTTTCTTCTTTCTTTCTAAGAAATGTAACGTAACAAACTGCTAATAAAATTTAAATAGCAATTTCGGATCGATATCTAGAAAATTTCTCATATAAAAAATTTACTTAATTTGGCAATGAGTATTCATTTTTCATATATGGGTTATTTTTTTGCATGCAATGCTTTTTTTATTAAACAAGTGCCTGATGTAATAAGTTTCTGAAAAAGCGATAATTTATATTATCTTTATACAATTGATGAAGTTGAAAGTATATGACTAACACAATCACAATACAGATGTTCAATAAAGTCCGATCACAATACAGACGTAAATGTTTCAATAGAATTTATCACAACTGATTTAAAAATCCATTAAACATATATCTAAGATTTTTTTACATCTTAATCTAAACCAAAAGAAACTCCTTTCAAAACTGCGTCAATCAGTTTTGAAACGGATAATCAGACTTCATAATATTTTTATTTCCTTCTTATGAAAATATATTAATTATTTCTTATGATAAAATCCACCATAACAAATATGACTGACATTATCATGTTCCTTTACAATTAATATTTCGTTTAGTTTCTTAAATTCTAGAAATGAGATATAATGGGAAAAAAAAGTAAAGCAAAAATAAAAATGCTAGAAGTATTAACTGCCCACTTACCTTACCAGACAGATTAAAGTTTCTTTTGTTACATTGGATAATATAATACTCTGATGCTCAGAGTTTGGAAATATTCTACGTAGACCCGGATACTGAAATAACCTCTCCAATAACTTTTTTTTCGGTATTTTAATTCTTTCTCTACCATCTTGTGCAACGAGCGGTTCAAAATCGTAATCCATCTCAGAAGCCGTGATTTTCCAGCAAGCATTCATAGACAGTGAATATGAATATGATCCGTTATTGAGGTCAAACTGGCATACGCAGTGCTGTATGCTGCTGTGGGTTTAGGTGAGCGTTAAGATGGCTACCCTGATTGGCTATAATGTAGCCAATAAGGAATTAATCAGTAAAAGTAAAGTTGCCCATACGTGAATTTTTAGTTGAATCTGCAATCAGATTGGCATAAACTTAAAAAAATATTACGGTATATTCTACACGCACTTGCATTTCAAATAACAAGGTTGCCGTACGTCACGTCTATACGGGGTTGCCATCGTATTTCAGTACTCAGTTCCGCATTACAAATTGTCCCGTTTTCTCCCTAAACTGCGTACAAGACTGCCGCCACGCGGCGACGGCACTGTCAATAGGGAACACAAAAGCCTGAAGTTTTTCTTTTGCAGGTACAAAGTATACTTATCAGAAATCATATCTAATGAAGTTATGCGAATACGTATTTACCATTCCATCCCATAATGCAAATGGGAAGAGAATATTTTCCCTAATGTCAGTTCAATAGTTGAACAAAAGTAACAGGTCGTCAGTGGAGATGATTGAGGCAGTTTTGATCTGTCGTTATAATTGTAAAATGAGTTGCATCAAATTTTATAATTATCTGAAAGAAGAAAATGATATTAAGTAAGCAAAATCAATTTTTAAAAATGTCTGGGTAAAAAAAGGATTAGCCTTCAATTGTTTTTTTTTTATTCCATGTGTTTATTTCTTCAGATTGTTTTATCGATTTTTTATCAGACTAAAATGAATCCCTACCAACTTTTTACATGTGTTTTATTTAGTACTTGAACGTCCCATATCAACTCTTAGCAGTTATCGCAACCCTACAAATAATACTTACCTGTCGGAGCTCTGGGGCCATGCGAAGAATAGATAGATAGATAATAATTTTATCATTTTTAATAGAGAGATAAAACCGAATTGGAATTCCCCTAAATCCCATATGTAACACTACAAACTTTCGATGCATTTTTGCAATAACCACGCTTTGATGATGCTGGAGTACCGTATTTTCCGGCATATAACGCGCATCTATAATTTCAAGCTACATTTCTTAATTTTTATGTATATTCGCCCTATAATGTGCACCCAGTTCTTCATGAAGAAACCTAAAACATACATGTGCAATGCTCTTATCTTTTGAGGTCACTAATACGAAGATTTGTGCTAAACTTTCAAACAAACACTAAACGGCATGCTTCCAACCTCATTGAATTCGTGGAATCAGGAGTTATACGTATGTTTTTCTCTCTGTAGGCATTTGAAGCCGTGATTTTGAAGTGAAAATCGAAGGCCTTTAGTAAATTTCACAGTTGATGTAGTGATCCTTTTAGCAGTAAATATGGCTCCCGCGAAAAGAAACAAACACGATCCTGGTCTTAAATGCAGAGCCATTCATTCTGCGAAAGAAAATGGAAATCCAGCTGTAGCAAGGATGTTTGGTGTTGGTGAAAGATGGAACGGATAATTATCATTTATTTATCTATCAAAATAACAACGATGGTGAAAATGAAACAAAATTCGATGCTACGCCTGAAGATGTAACGAAGATAAGACAAACATGAAGAACTCTTCATGTTATCCGATAATGAAAATGTCTAATTTCATAAGGTAAGATTGCTGGAGTGCTCCCCACCCACCCGATCACGAAGTGATCTCATGATAATTTCATAAGGTAAGATTGCTGGAGTGCTCCCCACCCACCCGATCACGAAGTGATCTCATGATAATTTCATAAGGTATGAAATTTTTTTTAAATAAGCAGCGTGTATTCGTGTATAATATTCGTGTATGTAAAAATCTAATTTATTCTTTTTTTTAAACTATCAATTTTATATCCGGCGTATAAAGAACACCCACAAATTTTAGTCCTATTTTTGTATTAAAAATTACGTGGTATGTTATACGCCGGAATATGTGGTAATTGGAAAAAAATTAACTCAGCGATATTTTCATATTTTCTCTCACTAATTTATTATTATGTTTATTTTATGCCGTTATTGATGTATTTTAACGTGTTTGTCTATCTGCTTATGAATATCTCAACGGTTTACGGATTTCATTAACTTAGGATGCAGTAATATTTTTAATGCAACTTTATATCGAAAGTTTATACAAAAGTTATGAAAATATAGACATTACCGAAAAAGCTTGCTCAGTGAAAAGCAAAAAAGTTGTCAGACTTTAAATATTTAGTCTCACAAGTAACAGATGTGTGATAGAAAGCGATAAGTTTAACAGCATTGTAACCACTAACTCGAATTTACGATTTGTGCCAGGCTCAACAAAAACAGAAGTAGAATAAAAAATGGAGATTATATGGTAAAAGGTAAGTTTTCATTTAACTCTAAATCTGTAAACATGACACACTTCTCAGAAATCAAATGAAATCTGATCAATGAGACACTCGAGGATTTTAAGTATTTTGCCGTGAAAAAATAATGATATACATAAGTAATACAATATGATGTGACGAGTTTTAAACTATACCATCAAATGGCGATTGCTTTGCTATTTTTTATGCTACGGGACTTCTTTAATCAAGAGCACTATCTGTTAATAAACGGGGACATTGTCAGTTCTAAAATCCACTTCTGATTAAAGTCAATGTTCAGTCTTTGGGGAGGTTTCATTACTTTTCTTGTACGAGTTTTAGTTTGCCCTTTCTGTTGAAAAACAGGATCATCTGTCTCTAATATCTCTAAACGGTGTAAGCATTGTGCAGGACGTACAAAGCCGCTGTTTTATTTTTAATCCTTGCCATTCTTGCATTTCCATCTCTGCTTTTAAAAATTTTCTCTACTTTGGTCACTGGCTAATTAAAGGCCTCATTCAATTGAAACACCGATGTTCACTCAAATAGCGATCGTTACATCCAGCATTAGCGATAACTTTTGAAAACGAGTGACATTTCATATTCAATTGAAGCACTTCCCTAGCAGCCGAACTAAGGCTCCTATAATGGCTAAATCTTCCGCCATTCGCGAGCCCAAGTGGGAATATTAATGGCAGCTGCATAATTAGCGGTGGAACAATTTCTTGTGACTTTTTGTGTAAAGTGGGCAAACGTGCAGCTATTAATTGCTCAAATCATTCACTAAAAGGTCATATATTGGTAAAATTTCCTAAAAATGAAGAAAAAAGAAAAATTTGGGTAAGGGAACCGGGTTCAGGTGCTCAACATTGCTTAGTAATTACAATATTATTTACACCTTCATTTAGAGTTTATGTTTTCTCAATGTTTATAATGTGCACGTAAAGTGAAATTCTTGTGTACAATAATCTAAATATCTGCTAATGTCTGTCATAACAGCTATAATTAAATTGGTCTAGATTTAATGTCTGTCATAACAGCTATAATTAAATTGGTCTAGATTTAATGTCTGTCATAACAGCTATAATTAAATTGGTCTAGATTTAATGTCTGTATAACAGCTATAATTAATGGTCTAGATTTAATGTCTGTCATAACAGCTATAATTAATTGGTCTAGATTTAATGTTGTCATAACAGCTATAATTAAATTGGTCTAGATTTAATGTCTGTCATAACAGCTATAATTAAATTGGTCTAGATTTAATGTCTGTCATAACAGCTATAATTAAATTGGTCTAGATTTAATGTCTGTCATAACAGCTATAATTAAATTGGTCTAGATTTAATGTCTGTCATGGTCATAACAGCTATAATTAAATTGGTCTAGATTTAATGTCTGTCATAACAGCTATAATTAAATTGGTCTAGATTTAATGTCTGTCATAACAGCTATAATTAAATTGGTCTAGATTTAATGTCTGTCATAACAGCTATAATTAAATTGGTCTAGATTTAATGTCTGTCATAACAGCTATAATTAAATTGGTCTAGATTTAATGTCTGTCATAACAGCTATAATTAAATTGGTCTAGATTTAATGTACCCGTCGCCAAACATCGGCAATGCGGTTGCTTTGAATGTGAAAAAGAAATTTGGCTTCTAATTTAATACGTAGATTTTGTTTTCCTGTGCTAATTGTAGAAATTAGAGTTATGTAATAAGAAAATGATTAGCATATTGAAATTTATGAAAAAAATAATAATAATTTAGAAACTCAAGGTAAAATCTGAATATCTGCCAAAGATATATATAACATAATGAGTTTGAATATCATTGACATTAAGTATAATTTGTTTGCTTATTTTATAAACCCCCTATTGTTGAAAAGTTAGATGGAGTTGTGTATGCATTGGTTCCTACTACCGTTTCTTGGTTAAAATAATTTCCGGAATATTAACATCTGAAGTCAATAGAATAAATTGAATACTGTGGGAAAATATATATATAATTTGCTTTCAATAATGCAAAGATTGCGCAAGTACTGTATATTTGTAATCACAGTATTATTCAATTTGGCAACAGAATAAATATTTACAAATGAATGCAGAACATTCAGATAAGCACATTAAATTTGTAAAAAGCTCTGCATGTGAATTTTTCGTAAAATAATTGCGTTGTTTTTAATGCATAAATAACAATTAAATAAATCTGCTTGTAATGATGAATTTCAAAGGCTAAGTCAAAATCATTTCTTCAAAATCATTGGATTCAATATTTCAAAAGAATTTAATCTCATCAAATTAAATCAATTCTGGTTTGGGGTAAAAGCGCAGAATAGGCTGCATCAACAAAGTTCAGAAGGCGGAGCTGTGTGACGTTCACAAATAGGTGGGACTAAGCTTGTGACGTCACAATGTATTCTCCATGGACCTTATAAGAAATAGATTAACCCAGTGGGCGGGGCGTGCGTCACACACATGTCGGGAAGAGAGAGTAGGGACGATTTAGTTTATCGTAACATTGAAACATATGGCGTTTGTATCACATAACTCTTTTTAATTATTAAATGTGATACGTTGTACAAATGATAAGGTAATAAAAATCACAGTTTTTGCTAATAAGATTTTATATATCTCATGAAACCACTTTATAGTGCATTTTGAGTATTTTTTTTTTACTGCATTTTGAGCACAAGCGTAATTCTTGTCTGAACATCATTACTTTGATAAAACGGAAAAACTCTAAACAAAAAATTTATGAATTTACTTTTGCCTACAAATGCTACATGATGCTATGAAACAAATAAGGTAAAATTAAACAAGATTTGGTAATTTTTTTTTTTTTTTTTTAATTTTATGAAAAGTTTCAGGCAGTAGTAGCAAATATTTATCATTTCAAATGTTTATAGAAACCAAGGATTGTTTTATTTATTTTTTCTGTTTTCAAAATTATTATGGTATTAAAAGATGATCATTTATGTCAATATTAATAAC